TGAATAGAATGATTTGTTCTAATGGTGTTTGTAAATAGGATCTCAAGTCCGCATCTTGTACAGCAATTAACCACTAAGAAGAATGTATGCGGTGTGTTATTTGTTGAAACTGTACTTCCGATTTGATTTGAAACTGTCTCATTGCTGTTTATCAATAAAATTTTGGAAAAAAAAATTTGTGCTTCATTGTGGATTAAACTAGAAGACAGAGTGCTAATTTTCTGCAAATACATCTTCAATATTATCACATAGCCAGAGCTTTGGGATGGTTACATAGTGTATGTGTTTACCCTGGATACTGCCCCTGGCCAGGTTTCTGTAGAGTTAGACGTACCATGCAAGTAGTAATCAGACCATGTTCACTGCTTTGTTCTCCATAGATGCTGGTGGAGCACCTAGTGGTTCTCCCTGCAACTTCTAGGTGTTGATTAAACCTATATTTAATAAAGAAGGGTCAAATCTTTTTGAGTACTACTTCATGGGTATTCGGCTTTTCAAAAATATGACCTATTTTAATCCTAATAACATACAATTTTGTATTTGGAACATACTAAAAAAGGCAAGTACTGCCATTCTATTATTAAAAAGTTCTTCACTATTAAGCTAATGGTAAGGTCATTTTTTTTTAAACTAAGGTTATTTTGAAGAGGGAGAAAATTTAATTTAAAAAATCTGTTTGTCTTCACATCAAAAATAGAAAAGTAATCCTTCCATCACTTTCAGTTAAGTCACATTTGGTTTCCTTCAGTGAATACCAGTTTTCCGAAGATTAAGCAACACACTGAGAAATATTCTCACACTTCAGAGGATGGAAAATGTGATCTGCTCCCAACCCGACATCTGCATACTAAACACAAATTTAAAATATGCTGGAGAAATGGTGATTATAGCCTTACTACAAGGATCACTATGACTACGGTCACATGCCAGATACGATGAACGTTTCACTTCCAAAAGTAACATTCCTGAAGAGGCAGATACAGTTAAAATGTATGTAGGATTGCCCCACAAGCCTAGATAAGCTGTTGGTTGTCCAATGTCAGTGAAGTCAGCATAAACGTTAAAGTGAAAAACCTGTTTTGCTAAATCCCAGTTCATCTTAACCAGGGCACTTTTTCTCAGCAGCTCAGAAAAGGGGAGACTATAAAATATGTACCTAGCAAAGCATGTCAGCAGCTTGAATGGAGCAAACCAGTCCCAATCTGAGGATCCTAATAAATAAATGAAGCTGAGCATTTACTGCCAACAATCATGTCACCAGGGCCACAGAGGACCAGAGCTGTACAGCTGGGAAGGGGAGGAGCCTATAGCCAGAGAAGGGATGGAATGCACCCAGATTTGATTATTTATAGCGTGCTGAAGAAGAGACAACTTTCCATATGAGGAACAGCTTAACAGGAACAGTCAGGCTAAACTAGGAAAAAGTCCATGAGAGAATACACAACAAAAGGCACCATGAATAAAAACAACAGGTAATAAAACAATGCAAATCTAAAATGCTGTAGCTTTTTGAAATGTTAGGGCCAAAAGAAAATAGAATTTAGTCTTGCTGGCTGTAGGACAGTTTCCCAAGAAGCAAAACAAAAGTACTGAATTGACCTCAAATGTGCCTTAGTATCTTCCTGGCCAACTCTGTTTGGTTGCTTCTAACGCTTAAAAAGCAAGGCAGCAATTCTGTATTGAGCTGATGCATCCATTTTTCCCCAACAAATACCTACAGTGTATTATTTCATATGAGGTAGTGCACTTTAGGGTTTTGTGCTCAACAAAGGCAGTCCTTGCCTTTGAGAGGCTTGTCTCAAGTGGGAAGCACAGATGTTCACTGTGGGCTTCTGAATGGGGGTGGTGTGTGCTGACATCAGCTGGACCAGGGGCCAGAGAAGGCTGGGGGCAGGGGTTCCAGAAAGGGGCTGCCAGCTGAGACCTGAGGAACATGAAGCCTGGACAAGAATCATTTGTGCTGTGCCCATTATGAAAAGATACTTAGCAAACCTCCACGGGACTCCAGGATGTTTTAACAGTTACTTTTAAGCAAAGATGCAAATTTCTGTTGTTCTTAAGCTTTTTATCCTTAAAAGTCTACCTGAGCTGTTTCACATTATCTTTTTATGGTATTATTTCTTTGTCCAAATCTGACCAAAATTTAATAAATATCAGCCACCAATTAGCATGTGGCCCAAATGTGCGAGGTATTTTATTTGTATCTCATAGTCTCTTTACAACCTTGAGTTGGGGCCTTTACTCTCACTTTAGAGGATGGCAGGAGCCTCAGAAAGTTTCTCACGGTCACAGGAAATAAGGACTACAACATTTTATTCTCTCCTTTGTGGCCTGTAGGTTAAGTATAGTTTGGGACTGTGTCATTAACACTTCTATACCCAAATAAGACAATGAGCTGCCTCAAGTTACACCATTCTCATTAAGGAAGCACTACTGTAACTTTAAGGGCCAGAAACCCTTGTCTTAGGTGGCAGTGGGCTGCTCCCACTGTCATGCAGGAGATCTTACAGGGAGATCTCAGAATCTGAGAACTACAATAAGTCTTGTACTTTCAATGACCCCCACTCCCACCCCTAGGCATCCAGTGAGGAATTCTGGACTCCAAATTTCTTTCTCTTAAAAAAAAGTTAACTCAGCCAGGTGTTGTGGTACCACACACCTTTAATCCCAGCCCTTGATGAGGCTGAGAAAGGACTGTAATTTTGAGCCCAGCCCAAGCAAAGTAGCAAACCATGTCTCAACACACAAAAGAAAAAGGGATGGGATATAGTTCAGTGAAGGCCCTGGGTTCAAGTACAACAAAAAAGTTGCGGGCCAGGGATATAGCTCAGGGGTACAGCACCTCCTCAGCAATAGCATTGTAGTGAGTTTAATTCCTAATACCCAAAACAAAACAAACAGTGGATGTTGACCCTCCCTGTCCCCACTCAAGGTTCCATGCCCTGATAAACTGCATAATCTTAGCTAGGATTACTTGATCACTATGCTGAAATGAATTCCAGGAGGGGATCCAGCCAGATCACTTAATCATGAGCTCATCATGTCTCCTGCCTGTTTCCATAATGCTCTTGCTCTAAGAGGTGGTCAAATGCTGGCCACAGCTAGTTTTCTCCCTAACCAAGGGGAGATCAGACTTTCCAGACCCTACAGGTAGGTGCTTTTGGTCCCTATATCTAGGCCTCCATATACACCTAAATACACTATTCTGCTCTTGGCCAGTTGGCCAGTATTCCTGAAATACTAATTATCTGAGGACTGAGCAGTGTATAAATTATTTCAAGGTTTGAATATAAGCCTCATGTTTGAATTCAGGTAGTATTTTTTGTAGTGCTCATTTTGTAATGTCTCCCGGACCACGAAACAAACATATAACTGCACTCAGTGATACAGCTATTTCATTACAAATCCTGGGGTCCTAAAAGTATAGTAGAGGTCTGATGCTATCACTGTACATTGAGAAAGTGTGAGCCACCAACAATGAAAAATCTTTCAGAGAATTCTGAATTCTTTTTAAGTATGTAAAACTTTGTAAATTTAGAGAAGACTGAATTTTACCTGTTTTATTTCAATCACACTAAGTTTGTGAATGTTTGCTCTTAAAACTAGGAATTAAACAGGATGATTTGGACCCAATAGTGTATCTAGTAGAATTTAGCTTTTCTGCTGCGGGATAACTTTCTTCAGTACAGAAAAATGTTTGGATCATGCCTGGGCCAAGGTTCATCCAACAGGGACAGCCACGTGCATGGTGCTTTCACCCGAAGGCAGGGATTTTGGTGGGATGAGTGAGCAAACTCCCTGCTCTCAGAAAATGACTTTGCATCCAGGACAGTCTTCTGACTCAAATCATTTTCCAGAAATTTAAAAGGCAATCATTTACTCTCAACTTTCAAAGAGAGTCTGGCTTGAAAGGCACAGTGGTATCTAAAATTGATCAGCTAGCAACAATCCTCTGAAATGACTTTGGAGTAAGAGAACGGCAGAGGCACACTTCTGGACTGAACCATTTGGTTCACGTTCCAGGTTGTAAATTTGCTAACCCCAAAGACCACTTGAAAATAAGTTTTCACCAAGAAAGATTTTTTAACGCAGATGCATTAATTTTTTTATTACTTTGATATGAAACACTATAGCTATAAGACTTGCCAACAACTAATCTTCATTTAAGAAAAAGAAGGAGGAGGAGGAGGAGGAAGAGGAGGAAGAGGAAGAGGAGGAGGAGGAAGAGGAGGAGAAGAAGAAAAAAGCACGGCCAGGATACATCTCAGCGACACAAGTGCCTGTCTGGTAAGCTCCTGAGTTTGATTCCTGTTGCCCAAAAAACCCCACATCAAAACAAAACAAAAAACCAAAACCAGAAAATGAAGAAACAAAAAAGAGCATTTAAGCATAATATTACAAAAAACAAAAACAAAAAACCCAAAAATTTAAGTGTTAAAAGCATGGATTTTAAATTATGGTAACTGACCACCTTATTAAAAGATTACTTTACAGCATATTTTATTTATTTTAATGTATTTGGTTGATACAGGGTTTCACTATGCAGCCTGGATTCACAGTGAACCTCCTGCTTTCAGCCTCCTCAGCACTGGTGTAACAGGATTACAGGCGTACCCCACTATGCCCAAACTCTGTGGCCCACTCAGCCGGTCCTGGGGGAAGGTCTGGCATGGCATATGGTGCCTGGGATTGAACCTCGAACCCAGTACTCACCTAAGCTTGCCTTACCAGGTGCTTTAGACTGCTGAGCTATCTCACTGACTCCCACAGTATATTTAAATAAACCAGGAAATTTTATAAATATCAACATTTACCATACAACTTGATGATATGGCTATACTGAAATGGAATTGCCAGCTGGATGTAAGCAGAGGACATCTGAATGAAAGGACATACACACACACACACACACACACACACACACACACACACACACAATTTTACTGAAAACTATCTGAAAAACCTATATTCTTCTACATTTCAATCTCCAATTTAGATCTTCTCATTTATTCTGAAATAAAGTCTTAAGAAATTAAGAATCAGTACATAGAACTTTAAAGTAAGACTGCATATGGTCAGAAAAAGATGCATCCATGGCATATATTTTATTTTATAAGAAAATAAAATTATATACAAAATTACTGCTGTTCGTTAATGTTTATCCTAGCTTTTCTGATTCATATAATTAAGTACTACCATAAAACACAAAGCTTTGAAAGAAAGGTGCTAGCAACATTCTCTTTAACTTCAATTTGCTTTAGAGTTTCATTTGCCAGTTTCCCTGGAAATTTCTATCACTCCTTGGTTCGAGAATGTACTTAGAATGGCCCAAAGTCTGGAGGGGTCCTCGCAGTTATGGTGGCTTTCCCAGTGAAGGAAGAGTTCCTCCTTCCTCCCTAAAGTCTGGGCACACAGGAGGCAGCTGAAGCCTGAATGAGACCAGAGGAACACAGTATGGTGGCTGCCATACTCTGGGCTCTGGAGGTCTGCCCTCAGCTCCTTTGTTCTCAGTTGGCCTCCTTCATTTGCCTTGAGTATTTCCACATCCTTCTCATGGTGAAGACAGAGTTGTCTTTTCATCTTAGGAAGTGCATGACAGTCTTCCTCAGAGGCACAAGGCCTCACCTGCTTTTTTCTTTCTGGATGCTGCTTCCAGTCTGGAGCAGTGTGTTTGGCGATCATTTCCTGAGCTCCTTGGTTGCTGGGTAAGACTCCCTCTTGCAGCCTGCCCTGAATTTCCTCTCCATGAACATAAAGTAAATGAAATTTGATTTCAGCAAAAGACTGAGCAGTGATCTGACAACGGCCACATTTGATTTGTAATTTGACTTCATCTGCCTGGTTTAGAAGGAAATCTTCTTCCAAGCTTGATTTGTTTTCCCTGAAAAGTAAAAAAGTCTATGTAAGAGTTCATGTAAAAACACAATTGGTACTTTACCCTTCAGCTCTCAGCCTTTGGGGATCTAAGCCACACTGCTCTGTAAAGCAGGAAGCATGGGTACACAGAGCCTGGGAAGGACTTTAGTAGAGGCCGGGGTGGACATCTGCTGTCACTCTGCTGGGCACCACATGCTTCTCAAGCAACCAGGGTCCCCCGGAAAGTCTGTCCCTCCCCAGGAGAGCCACCTCCTCTTTAGCCACCACGGGACAGGTGTAGTTAAAATGGAAGGGTCAGTCCATACTATTACACCAGGTGCTGTAGGACCACCTGGTAAGGTCTGAGGTGACTGTCCCCACCACCCACTGTTCCCTCCTTAACCTAGAGCATACCGGAATGCAAGTTAGGACATTTTACTTTAACATCAAAATATAACTACAGGAAAACAAGTACAGAGGGGGATTTCCTTGTACATTGGTGAAAGGCACAGAAATGGGAAAGGGAACAGAAGTGTCTAAGAAAAAGAGAGAACCCTAGAAAGGTATGAACAAACAGGATAGTCATGCACCTCTTACTTTTATTGACTGTAAAAGTGTAAGTCAAAATTAAACAATATATTGAGCAATTGGAAAAAGTAAGAAACAAAGGGAGGTTGACTTCTCAGGTGCTGAGGGAAATCTCCTTGGTGTAGAAAGGGGGTATACACAGCTCACACTGAGGGTACTGCTTGTTAAATGCCTAATTACTGCCAGACTTCCCAATTATGAAGCTTATTTATTTATTTATAATGCTAGAAAGCAAGTTCTGACTTAGGAAAGTTCTTTTGTCCTAATGAGAAAAATGGGGGCCACGCAGAGAGGGTTAGCTCTGAATGGTACCTGAAGTATGTAGGATGGGGTAGATGAGGCTATCTAGATGTAAATTTTATGGACATGAATCTGGGGAAAATTAGTTGTAAAGAACACTATTAAATATACAATTTACTATTTTATTTTTAGATGTAAAAATAATCTCTCACTGAATCTGTCCCCAGAATACCTCCAACTGGCATTTATATAGACTCATATAGTAATTGAAATAATGACTGATCAGAAACCAGAGTGAAGAGAGATCACTATTCATAGAACTACAGGGACTAAAATCTTTCTGAATGTGAAATTTTACCCTCTTTCCCAAATCAACACAGACTCTCTTGCCAGGCTTCCAGCCTCTCGTACTCACGGCGTCAGTGCTGCCTCTCTCCCTGGATCGCTGGTGTCTCTGCCTCTGCTCCTCAGCATGTCTTCTGGCTGTGGTCCACTAGGGGTGGGCTCTGTACTGATCACAACCCTGTGAACTTCTTTCAAGTGCCCAAAATAGACTCGCACGTGGCCAAACACTTTTGCACAAAACTCACAGCACACAAGTTTCTTCAGACGGTTCTCGCCATGATGGAGCTTCATGTGAGTGCTCAAGCTGCCAGAGCGTACGTAGGCCTTGCGACAAATGCGACAACTGTAAGGCGGTCTGTTGGTGTGTGTGTTCATGTGGTCTTGAAGGTGCTGTTTAAACTGGAAGTGGTGGTTACAGACCTGACATCTGTGCCACGGTTTCTTGACACCAGAAAATCCATTTCTTAACACGGAGCTGGGCTTGGGTGAAGGGCTGTCATTCTGTTTACGGCTGAGACATTTGGAAGTGACTGAATTATTCAACAAGATGTTCTGTCCTAGGTTGCTGGTGGTCTGAGACTGCAGAGTGCCTGAAGGAGAAGCCAGGGAAGGCAAAGCAGATATAACAATTACAGGTTTGGGCATAATACTACGATACTTTTTCAAAGCCCCTGGTTTCTGGTCTTTGGAATCTTGGAGATTGTTTTTTGCCCTCTCTTTACCATCTCTGCATTTATTAATAATGCATTTCTTCCTTTTCCCCTGAAATGCTAAAATTTCATCTGGAACCTTTTGTTTTCTTCCTCTTCTCTTTGCTGCTCCAATGTTCAGTTTTGTTTTATGGTTGAGATCTGTTTTGGTGACTGGACAAAAGGTACTTCCACAAGGAATCTGCTTTGGTACTGATAGAATAGGTGTCTTGCTGGCCATTTTGGTGGCTGTATTAAAGCTTTCTATGATGGCAGATTTCCTATCATTGTCTGTCCTATACTCAGGTAAAGAAAAACCTGCAGTCTTAGCATCTGATTCAGTTTTGCAAACCTCAGTTGCCTGCATTCTTGTGTAGGGTAAGATTGGTACTTTACCTTTGGGAATAGATGAGATCAAATGAACTGTACTGCCAAAAATGGCTGGTGACAAACTGGTCAAGGCTTCTGCATGATCTGATTGTTCTTTAAGTTTTCCTCTGGCAACAACAGAAGGCTCACCGGGTACTTTCTTGCTTGTATGGTTTCCTTTCCCTGAACTATCTGAGAGACTCTGCCTGGCAGAGGGCTCTCCTGATTTGGGCAGGGCTGCTGTGGCAGGAGGGCTCAGATCTCTGCAGCTGTTGATCACTGGAAGTGTCAAGTCTTCATGGCCACTTCCCTCAGCCAGTGGAGCTGTGCTGGGCCCCCCTGGGGCTTGCTCTGGTGATGGAAGCTGCTTGCACTGATTGCGTTTCTGTGGCAGTTCAGAATGGGCAGGCAGGGAAGGCGACATCTGAGTGTATGTCTGGGTGTGGGCAAGAGGTTTGCCACAGCCACTTTCAGGAGCGCTCAGGCTAGGCTTCTTTTTTGGTCCTTTGTTACCTCGTAGGGGCTGGTATCGAGGAATAGGCAGTTTAAGGTTTTCAGGCATTTGGGGTTTCTGACTTGGCTGAGCTGAGGTAACAGATGGCAAAGCGACAAGAGAAAATGTGCCCTCTTGGCCAGCCACTTGCATCAGTGCATAGTTCTGAGAGGGCATCCCCAGTGGCTTGGGACTCTTGGAGGGCCCCAAAGTCCCCTGATCTGAAAGTGATGGTGAGTGACATGGAAGCACTCTGGGGGTTAGGACTTTAGGTGTAATTTTTGGTGCAATGGTCCTAAACTGACTCTTACTGTGCAAATTCTTCGCACTCTGTCCTGTTCCAGAAGAGACATTTGTGTCACCTGTAATGACAACACAACATAAAAAGTGACTGGAGTGTGGCTGTTCTGGAGTAGATAGTTAAGTAAGTGTCTCATTTATTCTGCCTAGAGAAAACCCTTTGCCTGCCCTCTGCCCTCTGCACAAATACCTATGTCTTTAAGATGCAGATGGAAGGTCAGTACCTACTCAGCTTCCCCGAAGATTATTCTCCCTCTCTGTAGTTCCTTGTCCGTATCATACTGTTGACCACATTCCATCACAATGTATGTGCTTATGCATGTATCTTCTACTCCACATAGAGCCCTTGGGGCCTAGGACTCTGTCTTTCTCATTGTTGTATCCTGCAAGTCAACCTTCTTGATTTACCCAGGTCTTCTCGATCCTCACAAGCCATGGCAACTCTGCCTCCTTTTCTTACCTCATGAGCAAAGCCATCTCCCCTCTGGTATTTCTACTACATATTCAATCTATGTTATACACATGCCCTGCTTTCCCTGTTGCAAATAAGCTTTACGAGAATGAAACCTGTATTTATTTATCTCAATATTATCCACTGTATCTCTGGTATGGAACAAACATTTTTTGTATCCAATTCATTTTTTTTACTCCATTTCAGAATACACCATTTGACCCACTGGCAGTGTAATTTGTTTTGCACTGTGGATGAATTCCAGACTGAATGCTAGCTTTGTTGCTCTTTCCCCATGTGACTTGTGAATTTCTTCTCACACCTTTCAAACTGTTTATGTGTGCTTTTGCAATTAAGTCACCATATTAAAAAAGCTGATGTGACACCTTTAAAAATGTTGAATAAAACCAAAAAGATACAAGGTGACAGGTAAAGATGTAGAGAGGCTAAGTAAAAAATACATGGAATTTCAAAAAAGTACCTTCTAGGATACTAATAGGAACAATTTAAACTGATAGAATAACATTTTATTCTCCCCAGATTTATTAGCTTGCTCAAAGACCAATTACTACAGGCTGAGAGAACAATTAAGGAAATATTTTGGTGCCCTATTCCTATCGATTGAATCATCTATTTTATTCCCTGTGGTCTCCAGGTCATAAGGCCTGGTTGTAGAAAAGTTTCTCATTTCTAAGTACGTCATATTAATCAACCTTCACTCCAAATGACATTTACTAGGCTCCTATGCTATTCTAGAAATTGTCTCTAGCAAGCCAACAATTTGGTTTCTGAAACTTCCTGGAACATGTGTGTTTTAGAATTCCCATATTAAGATTTTAGAGAAGTAATAAGAGGTATACACCAAATTTACACTTCACCAGGTAAATCCCAGTTCATGCTGCATTTTTACTCAAATGGCCTCCTTCTAGATAGCTATGCTCTGATCATTTTACCTAAAACTGCCCTACCATTCTGAGCTCCACCTGGCCTGATGTGGTCTGTTCATATAAGATTTATATGAGAAGGTAAGTTTTATTTTTTTATGACCAAGTAGAAGAAAGCCTAAGCTCATGTGTCAGACCTCTGCCTCTTATGGTAGGTGGCCATAGGAAGTTAAATTGGAATGGTGGTAGGGTGAGCCAGAAACATCTGTTTCTTTTTCTATTTTCAGTATTTTAAAAAATTTTGTCATTTTAAGATTATTTCCTTTTAGCTTTTCCATTTTCTGGAAATGTATAAATTCATTTTGGTTAAGTGGAAGGCTGTGGAATCCTTAAGAGGCAGGGCCTAGTGGGAGGCCCTTGGGTCAGGAGTGCCCAGGTTCAGAAAGGACTCAGATGGTTTTGCTAGGAACCTGGAAGGAGTATGAATCTTCAGCATCTACAACAGTGTCCAGAACATGGCAGGGATGAGTATCTGTTGATTTCTTAAGTGACAATGAAGTGACCAAGAGCAGAAATAAAGAATTTACAAATTGAACCAAAATGAATTTATACATTTTCAGAAAATGGAAAAGCTAAAAGTAAACAATTTTAAAATGACATTTTAAAATATTGAAAATTGAAAAAGAAACAGACATTTCTAGATCACTCCACCACAACTCCAATTTAACTCCATTCACTGCCTGAGCAACAAAACAGGACAGCATCATGATAAAATCCTTTCACACAAAAGGGGACAGATGAGGCCACTGGACTATCAATTATAGAGGAAATAATAAAAGAGAACAGTAAACTGGTACAAATTGGAAAAGTCTACCAATCAAATGGGCTTTGGAGAAGAAATTGCTTTAATATAAATAGGCACACATGGAGGGAAAGTGGCAGATTAGAGTGAAGACAGGCGGGCATCTAGATGTGGAAATGCTCAGAGGCAGAGCATGGTGACATCAACATGAAGGACAGCAGAAGTAACAGGGAACAGAAAATACAGCTGAAACATGTAGGCTCAAGGACATCACAAGGTCTCTGAAGACTCTAAAGGTAAATTTTTTTTATGACAGAGTATAGGAAAGCTACCTTAGGACAGTTAAGGTTTTCAGAACTGAAACTAGATGTACTTTAAACATATACCAGAGGGGAGTGAGCTAATTATAAGATAAGGTCGATGTGTCTCAACTAATCCCCAAGAGGCTCTACATGATGGTGAGAACAGCAACGACACTCAAAGGAAAGGAAGCCAGCTGTGGCTGGGAGTAAAGGCTAGTCTCAAAGGACACTAATCATGTGAGCATCATGGACAGCAGCCTACAGGAGAGGGTGGTGCCTGCCAAATGGAATCAGTTCTTCTCAGGTTCCCTGAAAGGTGAAAGAAGTGGATGTGAGGGCAGCAAAGCTTATCAGCTGGCTCCTGATCAATAATTACAGCCTGAGCCTTATTGGGTAAGTCTGATTTGAATTGAGTTTGCTTGGATCTATCAGGAAGTACATACAAAGGTGAGAGTCCTAGCAAGGTGATAGATTTGAATCCCATTTCCTACATTGTTCAGGGAATGAAACTATAAGAAAGCAAGAAGTAAGGCATAGACTCTAAGGGGGAGACCTAGGAATTACTTACATGTCCATCAACAGAGGGCTAATAAAATAATCATACTACCTTACAATGTAATACCTTGAAGCAGTAAAAAGGAAAAATAAATTAGGTATTTCCATCATGATGTGAGATTTACAGTATGCTATTAAGGATTAAAAAACTGGGGAGACAGCCACAAAAACATATTCCTGTATATGTACAGAATAATTCTGAAAGAAAACAAGTGAATATTAGAAGTGGCTGTTGTGGGGTGGGGTAAGTGGGAGTCCTGAGGAGTCAGGATGGGATAAGTGCTTCTTTTCTATTAAACACTGTTTACAGATGCCTGGGACAGGAGCTGCTCATAAATATCTGTTGAATGATGAAAGGAAAGTAAGTTTATTTATTTGAATCATTTCTAAAAGTATCATCTTTTGGGCTATTCATGATATGCATAAGTGACGTTGTCCACAGACATAAAAAACGGCTCATGTCTTTCATTTTCCTTGACTACTTAACGACAAGCATTGCCAATGACCAGGGAAGTAACCTAGTCATCTCACAGGGAGTGCACAGCTACCTCCTGAAGTCAAGCACTGAGAAGCACCAGAGCCCATTACCTCCCAAGGTCAACTGGAGTCCTAAGAACTGCTCCTCCAAATATTTGGCTCTTTAGGATGAAAGAAGGCAATCTGCAATAAAGGTCAGTTATACTAGAATAAGTAGTTTTTAAAAAGTGGTTTAAACAATAGGGAGATCCTCTGGAAAAATTCCCAGTAGAGGAATAGCTGGTTTAAAGGGGATTTCCA